AACTTGGATTTAAAAAAAAATACAGTGTAAAAAAAGCCATAGAGAAGCCATTGCAAATGACTCACAGACTGCTAAACTTACACTGCTCTTGAAAGTCCTAAATATTTCTTCAGCCCATTCTCAAATTTGCACAAAGTACTTTATTACCTTTATAAGTAGCAAAGGTAGGAAAGAACTTTCAGATCAGCTTGTTTTTTCTCTTCCATTCCTGGCCTGAATAATTTTGGCGTATAGACCCTGCCTCAAAAAACTACAAATCCTAAGAATCCATAGGATAGAACTACAGCACTTAAAGTTTTTCTTGGCATGATTTCTTGAGGAGGTTTGCCTTGCCTTCCCCTGTAGTTGAGAGAGTGTGACTTGCCCAAGGTCACCCAGTGGGTTTACATGACTGAGCATTCTTGGCAAGGATTCAGACTGTTTGCTTATTGCTGTTGCTGTGTGCCTTCAAGTCATTTTTGAATTATGGTGACGTTAAGGTGATCCTGTCATGGGGTTTGCTTGGCAAGGTTTTCTCAGACCAGCTTTGCCCTTGCCTTCATTTAGGCAGAGAGAGTGTGAGTTGCTCAAGGTCACCTCACGCACTGGGCTTCCACGGTTGAGCAGGGATTCAGACCTTGGTCTCCAGGTCATTTTGTGTGTGTGTATGTAACCAAGTCATTTCTGACTTATGGAGGCCCTTTTGTTGTCGATCTCAACCCATGGTGGTGCTATGGATGAGACATCTCCAAGACCCCCTGTCCTCCACTGCTCTGCTTAATTCCTGCAACCCCTTATGACCTCCTTAACAGAGTCCATCCATTTGGCATGTGGCCTCCCCATCTTCCTACTTCCCTCCACCTTCCCCAGTATTATTGTTTTTTCCAAAGAGTCCTCTCTTCTCATGATATGTCTCAAGTACAACAGTCTCAGTTTGGTCATCTTGGCTTCCAGGGAGAGTTCTGGTTTGATCTGCTCTAAGACTCACTTGTTTTTTTTTTTTTTTCCTTTTGGCTGTCCATGGGATCCTCAGCACTTTTCTCCAGCACCATATTATCTCAAAGGAATTGATTTTCTTCCTATCACCATTCTTAACTGTCCAGCTCTCACATCCATACATGGTAATAGGGAATACAATGGCTTATATGATTCTAACTTTTGTGCTGAGTTGTATATCTTTGCATTTTAGAATCTTTTCTAATTCTTTCATAGACACCCTCCCCATTCTTAGTCTTCTCCTGATTTCCTGACTGCAGTCCCCATTTCTCTCAACTGATCCCAGGTATGGGAATTCTTTGACTATTTCTATTTCTTCATTGTCTAGGTTGAACTTGCGAAGGTCCTCGGCGGTCATTATTTTTGTTTTCTTTATGATCAACATTAAGCTGCCTTTGCAGTTTCTTCTTAGATCTTCCTTAGTAGTTGTTCCAGGTCAGTGAGGTTTTCTGCTAATATTATAGTGTCATCTGCATATCTTAGATTGTTGATATTCCTTCCTCCTATTTCCATTCCTCCTTCTTCTGTGTCCAAGCCTGCTTTTCTTATAATAATGTTGACATTCCTTCCTCCTATTTCCACTCCTCCTTCTTCTGGGTCCAAGCCTGCTTTTCTTACATACAACATGTTCTGCATACAAGTTGAACAGATAGGGTGAAAGGAAGCATAAGGTGGTGAAAGGATGCAGCCTTGTCTCACTCCTTTGCCAGTGTTCGCTATGGGGTTGCAATTATGGGGTTTTCTTGGCATAAATTGTTCAGAGGAGGCTTACCATTGCCTTCCATTGAGGAGGCTGAGAGAGTGTGATTCGCCTAAGGTCACCCAGTAGATTTACCTGGCCGAGCAAGGAAAGCAAGGGCAAACCACACTACCTAAGGGAAAAAACAACAACCCAGGGATTGCATAGGGTTTCCAGAAAAGGCGACTTGAAGGCAGATGACACACAGGTAGGTCCCCATTTCCAGGGGTCCAGGGCCCCCCCCTATGGGTCCTATTTCTCCATCCCTTTTGCTGGACTTTCGCCTCCTCTGCAAGACTGCATCCAGAGATGCTTCCCTCCCTCTTTCCCTCCTTTTCTTCTCTTCCTCTGCTCTCCTCTCTGCCTGACAGATGCCTCAGAGCCCCAGGCCGCAGTTAAGGTGACAAGATGCAGCCATTCTTTATGAACATTTCATTCCCGCTCGCTACACGACGTAAATTAGATTGGTGTGTTACATTCCGGCGAGGAAGCAAGCGAAGGCCCATTGCATGGAGAGGCTAAGCCTGCCGCGATTTTCATTACTGCTTTCATACCTTCGGAATTAGCCGGGCGGCGCTGAGCCTCTGATTGCCTTTCGCCGGGGAGGGCAAGGCAAGGCAAGGCAAGGCAAGGGAGGAGGAGGAGGAGAGGGACCCCTGCCCTTGCCTTGGATCAGAGGGAAGGGGGTCCCCTTGTGTGTGTGGGTTTTTTGGGGGGGGTTATACCCAGGCACACACACACCCCTCTCACACACAATAGGAAGGAATAAATGGAGTCCCTCCCTAAGCAAAGCAGCAAAGCAGCTTCATTTATATACTGCTTCATATCGTGCATGGGATGTCTAAGCGGTTTACAACTGTGAGCTGATTGCCCCCCAACAGTTGGGTACTCGTTTTAGTGACCTCGGAAGGATGCAGGCCTGAGTCGAGCCTGAGCCCTGGCTGGTATTGAACTTGCAACCTTGTGGTTTATGAGTGAGTGGCTGCAGTACAGGCATTTAACCACTGCGCCACCAGGGCTAAGGAAGGGTCATGAGGAGAATTGCTCCCTATGGGGGTGCAATAGGTCCTGCCTTTTGTTGGCTCCTCTTCCACTCAGCCTCCTCAGCTCGGGAAACTCCTTCTGCTCTCCTTGGTGCAGTCGTTTCCCCATTTACACCTTGGGCCCAGCGTGGTCACTCTTTTGCTCCAAGCGCTGGACTTGGAAAAGAGAGGTTTCTCTCACCTCAGAGATATTCAGGCGGACTCTTCATCCCCACCTCATGTTTCTCTCTGGAGAGAGGCTCAAGTGGGCTCCTCATCCCCACCTCAAGTTTAGAGGGAGAGAGAGAGAAAGAGAGAGAGAGGAGAGACACTAAGGTGGCCTCTCCCATCCCAATCTCATTTCTCTCTGGAGAGAGGCTCAGGTGGACTCTCCATCCCTACCTCAAGTTTCTCTTTCTCAAGAGACGTTAAGGTGACCTCTCCATCCCCACCTCAAGTTTATCTCAGGGTAGATGCTCAGGTGGTCTCTCCATCCCCACCTCAAATTTCTCTCTGGAGAGATGCTCAGGTGGACTCCCCATCCCCACCTCAAGTTTTTCTTGGGGTAGATGTTCAGGTGGCCTCTTCATCCCCACCTCAAGTTTCTCTCTCTCAAGAAATGTTAAGGTGACCTCTCCATCCCCACCTCAAGTTTCTCTCTGGAGAGGTGCTCAAGTGGACTCCCCATCCCCACCTCAAGTTTATCTCAGGGTAGATGTTCAGGTGGCCTCTCCATTCCCACCTCAAGTTTCTCTCTGGAGAGATGCTCAAGTGGATTCCCCATTCCCACCTCAAGTTTCTTTCAGGATAGATGCTCAGTTGGCCCCTTCATCCCCACCTTAAGTTTCTCTCTCTCTCTAGTGATGCTAAGGTGGCCTCCCCATCCCCACCTCAAGTTTCTCTCTGGGGAGATGCTCAAGTGGCCTCCCCATGCCCACCTCAGCTTTTTGCCATAAGGGTGCACACCCAAGAGAACACACTGGCCCTGGCTTTAGGAAAGCCAGCAAGTAGGCAGAAGCAGCCAGTAACTCTAAGGAGGGACATGGCCCTAACAATCTGTGTGAATGTGTAGGTGAGAGAGAAGTAGGGATAAGACACTTTGGTGTGTGGAGAAGAAAAGATGCTGCAGATTGAATCTCTCTTATACAAAATGCTTGGAGATATTTGGACACACCCCCCCCCATTTGGGAATATTTGCATACTTCTTGTTGTGTGCCTTCAAAGCATTTCCAACATGTTTCAGTTCTAAGGCAAACCTATCATGGAGTTTTCTTGGCAACTTTTGTTCATAGAAGATTTGCCATTGCCATCCTCTGAAGTTGAGAGAGTGTAACTTGCCCAAGGTCACCCAGTGGGTTCCATGGCTGAGCGGGGATTCAAATCCTGGTCTCCAGAGCTCAAACCGCTACACCACACTGGCTCTCATATTTGCATATACATAATGAGATATCTTGGAGATTGGACCCAAGTCTAAACACGAAATTCATTTATGTTACATATACATCTTATATGCATAGCCTGAAGGTAATGCTATACACAGTATTTTAATAATATTGTGTATGAAGCAAGGTTTGTGTACATTGAACCATGAGAAAGCTGCTTTGAATCACATTTTAGGAGAAAGGCCAGATATCAATCCCTTAAATAAATAAGTACATATAAAAGGGGAGGGGGGGAAGCTGTCACTATCTCAGCCATTCATGGAAAAAGTTTTTTCTTATAGATCAAAA